GCCACTGCAGCACAAGTTTGATCCCTGGCCAGGGGGTGACCTACACGGTGCAGCAGACTTTCCTGCTGCTCACCCCAGCAGTGTATTTAAATCAACTTGCCTGTTCTGCTCCCCACTCTGGTGACTCCTCTCACTCCCTGCACCTTTGGCCTGTACCCCAGTTCTGTAGGCATAAATAAATCCTTAAAAGAAAAAAAGATGCACCTGCTGAGTCCCAGGGGGGGCAGGAGAGCTGATCTCTAAATTTCAAAGGGGTATGAAGAATGGAAAAGAATAGACTCATGCAAGGTAGTGGGGGCAGAAGGAATTAACATGACCGTTAATTAACCAGTCATAGAGACCCCTGTATCACACTGCTGTAGGGAGTATCGGAAGCACAGACCTGAGTGTAAAGATACAGACTGGGCCATTGTGAGCTTCTGCAGTTATCCAAAATCAGCAGCAAACAGGCCACTCCACAAAGGAGTACGCCCCTCCCAATGAGAAAAGCACTCTATCAGGGCAGCCTCTATACCAGCACGGGGCAGCTGTCCTCTGCCCACCTGTGACTATGCAGGTGCTTCTTTCTACCTACTTTCTACCTACTCTCTCATGAGCAGCAGCCTCCTGCCTGCTCCTGACCAGTACCATGCTGGGGCTTCTCTGCACTGATCTTCCTCAGCAGAGGCCACCTGCCTGCAGCTATGCGGGACAGCTCTTCCTGCCTGCTCGCCTGTCTATGCAAGACCATCTCTGTCTGTCCCTGCTCCTAATAAGCCTGCTCTCCATATATAACTGAGACTCTGTCTCGTGGGAAAACTTGTGTGGGAAACTTGCTGAGCACCACTGAAAGGGAAGCTCTGGTGAAACCTTTTCCAGGGTGAACCCCGGGACCCCAAATTCCAAAAACGAAATCACATAGATCTCATTTCTCCCTAAGACAAGTTCCAGAGATTTGTGCCCATTTTTTCAGTCAATCATCAGACTTGGTTTAAGTTTGGAAAACGGATGTGCGGTTCCCCTTTATATTCACACAAGAGCTGTGCAAGAATTTGAGGTTTTCACAACGACAGTGTTCAGCTGTTGGCAACTCTGTCCAAAATGTGTCCTTCACACTTTTCAAACTTACCAGATTGCACTGTACTAAGCCATTACCCTGATTCTTCTTTTCTCATAACCTCAGTTACGTTGCTTGATATGGTATCTTGAGCACTGGTCTAAGACTTAGTTATAAAGGGAAGCTGAGGTTGGGAATTCTCATCTTCAGACTTTGAAAGATGCGTTTCAGCAAGTGACTCTTACTCTTTCCTCTCAGGTACCTGTTTCCTAGGCAACTACTGTTGGATGGTGTTTCTCTAACCATCCTCTGGGCATGATGTAACTGGAGAGTTTGCAGATGGTGAGCACTTAGGAGACTTCCTTTTTTCCACAGCCCCACTTTGCCATAGGTCTTCGTTGATTTCCCCCTCTATTGTGTCCCAAAGCCTTGAGTTCAGCCATGCTGCTCACACCTCACCTGCCTCCCTCCCTTGTTGAGACACCATTTAAAGACTCGCATTGCAGTGTTTCACCAACTGGACCTGGATTTGGCAAAGCTGGGGCCTGGCACCTTCCCCTGCTAGCCTGCACTTTCTCAGATTGGCTTGGGTTAAGGCCATCACATCTGTCTATCCTTCGTGGGCACACTAGCTCCTGGAGCCTCAGCTGGTGTCCCCAGTGCCAGCTTAGTCCCCTTTCACTTTCAGGTTATTTCCACTATTTAGTAAATCCCTCACTAATATACCCATTTTTATCATGGGGCTGACGTCCTGCACCTCAACCCAGGATCCAGTTGTGACACCGGAAAGCTCATCTTCCTAAGGAATTATAATCTGGGCTGCAGATGGCGACTCCCACCCCAGCCCCTTATACACAGTTTTTTGTGTCAACTTTCCTCTCAATTTGGAATCCTGGAATCAAGCAGGAGGGCTCAACAGCCTGAGAGGGAAGTTAGGAATGCCCGTGAAGAATTAAGGAGGAAAAACCTTCACAAGGCTTCAGGGTTTCCTTAATGTGGTGGAAAGCCAAAAGTTCGTGCCAGGTGCTGCTACTGGCCAGTTTCCAGCCATGACTGTGGGAACCTTGGCCAATGCCAGCAGGCCACTCCCTAAGGGGGTGTTTCTGAGCTTTCCCATTATCAATTAGTTGAAAATAGCACATAAATGTGTCTGACCTTGCAGCGTCTGTTCTGATCTCGGCTTCCTGCTCAAGGAACGTAAGGAGACAGACAGCATCTGTAGGGTGAGTAAAGGTATTGTGCTAGGTCACACTATTGATTTGCACTTACCAATTTACATTTGCCAATGATGCTCGTTCTTGGATGAAGTCATCGCATCTGAATGTTGGGGTGGAGTGGCGGGCTGTGTGGGTTTCACGGCACGTCGTGGTTGTAGTTGCTCAAGTGAGTTTCCTCATTGCCCTGTGTAGACACGAGCTGTCTGGGCTGTCTCGCACAGCCCCTGGCACATGGGTGGTGTTTGGTAAGTAATCTTGGCATCTTGTATACCCAGATTTTGCAGAGCTGGGGTGACCATTCTCCCTGCACCTGTGTTTTTGCCAGTGGCGGCTCTGCTGTCGCTCTTTTCAGTGCCATTTCGGGAAACAAATTGTTCTTCCTCTCTGCAGTGAAAGTACTGAGGTCTGAGGTGTGTCAAATGCTGAGCCAAGGAGGAGGGATAAATCATGACGGGCAGGGGTGTGACCTGTTTACTCTGCTTTCATGGAATCTGTCACTTTTCTTTTGCCCCATCTCCCTAACAAAATGAAGAGTCCATGGAAAATATGAGAGATGCTCATTCCCATTGGGCAGACAGGCTTGTCAAGCAAATGGAGACAGAAGAACATGTATCAGAAGCAGCTGGAAGAGGGTCAGTGGAGTTCTCTTAGTGGTTCACAGCAACCATGTTTATGCTTTCCTGTTACTAGAGAAAACAATGTCTTCAGATAGCCAATGGCCAGCAGAGGAGGATGAAGGCCAGTTGTCCCGACTGATCAGGAAATCTAGAGACTCCCCCTTTGTCCCTGTAGGTAAGTATAAGCCTTGACTAGATGCTGGGAAACTCTAATAACACAAAATGTCTTAGCCAATACCTCTGAGGATTGAACTGTCTTATGTCATTGAATTTTTCCAGATAATGGAAGCTAACCTCCTAAGAGCTCAAGTTCATAAACTTTCAGCACAATTTCCAGCATTTTGTAAATTTCCTTGTGAATGTTCGCCATTTGTATTTTGAAGCATCAATTCTCATCCTGTTTAACCTATTTGCATTAGAGAGCTATCTAAAGCTACCAGAATTTAGCGAATCTAAACAGAATTGACTGGAGCCTCCCTGGCAGCCTAGGGGTTAAGATCAGTGCTGTCACCTCTGCAGCTTTAAAGAGCAGTATCATAACTGGACCTGGTGTCTCAGCCTCTTTCGCTTTTCCCAAAATAGACTTAGTATGTTATAATTTCCACAATACTATATCGACATGAAAGCCAACTGACAAAAGCTAAGCACCAATATTATGTTTAAAGGCCAAGTATTCTCCTTTTCTCTTGGAAGTTTAACTTGCCTTAAGAATTACTGTTGTCTACTGCAGCCATGTGTCTCTCCTTGTGCTCATTTTGTCGTGAGACTATTAAAATTAACTCAAGTCAGACTTACTTAAGTTTGTGAATATATTGATTCATGAAATTTTTTAAATAGGTGTCTTATCAGGTGTTTCCACTGAGTGTTATGCAGACCTACTAATTTCATATCAAGAAAAGGATATTTCAACTTCCAGTAATATTCACTTAATTTCTTAAAGATCTGTAACTGTACCAGTATAAATTAAAATATAACTTTATAGTAACTTATTCAACCTTAGTGTTTTTAACCAGAAAAGAACAAATTGAAGAGATCATTACTACTTGAATAGATCACTCTAATGAACAAAGATAATCACTGTGTCTATTTTAAATTAAATTATTTTTCCAGAGACAGTTAAGGTGATTAAAGTAAAAAGATAAAAGTGCTTCCAAGTAAATTCAATTATATGCCAACTACAGAAACACTATATGGAAAACAGCAAAAGTTCTGATTTTAATCATTAAAAGAAACAAACCATTTAAGTAGAAACAGAGCTTTGTTTTGATCAAAGGAAGAGAACCAACTTTTTGCTAGATGAAGAAATAATACTATTTGGATTCTATTATTGAATCGTTTCAGTAATTGTTACTTTACCTGTATCTAATATGTATTTTTGTTATAGGATGAAGTGTCCTATGCAGATAATTTACAAAACATTTTTGTTTTCTTAAGTATCTTCCATCATTATCTATGTATGTCATGATCACTGTTATGTCCTGTGCAGGCATTCTATGTATTTGAACTCAGTGCTAATAGATTATTTGGTTCTTGATCTTTCACTTCCCATTTCTCACCTATATTTCTGTGCATTAAGTACTTCCTATGTTTGTTTGTTCACAGCTATGACAGTGTTTCCTCTATGGGCCGATTTAGTGGTTTTGTTTTTCTTCATGCGTCATATACCTAGTTCTATGTCTTCTGGTTATTTCTTTGGCATATAGTCACAAAATTAAAATTCCCAGAGTGGAAAACATATTCAACTTAATGTCATTTCTCACAAGTGTTCAGGTTTCTCTCTGGAAACTTACAGAGCCTTCAGCGTTATACGGGGCTTGCTCATGTACCCGTCATCATTGCCTTATTACGTGATTTTTGGTGGTTTTTTGGCCAATTTTATTTCAGTTTCATTGTTAATCATCCTATAAAAGATTACATAAATATGATTATTACTCTCTTACTTCCACTTATTAAATGGATCCTGAGAGATTAAGTATATCCTCACCCACCCACAGACACAAACATCTGCCAATTCAGATCATCAGAACTTCTTATCCTACTTAAAAATCAACTGCACTTCTATATACTAACAATGAACCTTTATTAATTAAAGACACAATGCTTTTTTTAGTTACTCCAGAAAAACAAAATGCTTAGGTATAAGCTTCATAAAACATACACAGTAGATGTGTACTAAAAGTTAGAAAAAGCTAAGAAAAGAATGGACCGGAAGAATCAATTTTGGCAAAGATGTCAATATCCCCCAAATTGTTTTATAATTTTCATGTTATTCCTGTCACAAATTGCAGTAACTTTTTATATAGACAGAGGTAACATTCTAAAATCTATATAGAAAGCACAAATGAAATTTACTTTAGATTTGGCATGGATTATTTCTCACAGATTTAAAATCTTTGTAGATCTTTCTTATTCAGTTGATCAATCATCTACTTTAGAAATCACTACATAGGATCTTGGTGGGCACAGCAGTAATTGTTTTCGTTTGGTTTTTTAAATACTGCTCTTAAATAAAAGAAGTGGACAGAAAATCAGTAATATGAAAGATTTTAACAAGATTCCTAAGTGATCTGTCTGCACAGTAGAGTTTGAGAAGCTCTGTTCCACTTGACTCATAATGACTAGAAGCCCATGTGTAGATCCAATTCTGGAAAGTTTTCCTTTTGCATTTTTACTGGTGTCATCACCACAGGTGTTTTGTCCGGTTTTCAGGCTAACTAGCAACAAGAGAGGCATTTTCAGGAAAGTTAATCTTAAAAAAAATAAATCACAGATTTTAGAGCTGGAGAAGTAGAAGTATTCACGTGTACATTTTCCCCCAGAGTTGCATACTTCTTGTGCATAGACTTACACATTTCCATCCTATTAAATATCTCATTTTACAATTAAGAATCTCATTTCTATCACCGCCTTTATTTGATGACAAGGGGCGGTCGCGGGGGGCCACACAAAAGCCTGGTGCTGGCATGTCTGGCTGGTCCCTCCTTGGCTACCTAAATGGCTCCCAGTAAAAGCCCAGCAGCCGGCACCGCCACCACGCCTCAGGAAACACACAAATCCCAACACAAGTTACTATCCTGGATGGTTCAGGTTTTTCTGGAAATTGCTAACTTTGAATCAAGATTAAGGAAGGGTTCATTTTAAAATCTGGCAAAACAAACCCAGACAGGTTCTTTGCAAGGGGCTGCTTGGTTCCTTGCCTGCTGTTTGCACGGTGCCAGTCCTCTAGGTAGCCTCTACTCAACCCTGAGCTCTTCGGGTTTCTAGCCTACCGCTTACATAATAGCCCGTACTTTCTGAATTCACAGGGATAGCAGGCTTTGTGGCTGTGGTGTCCTATGGTCTTTACAAGTTAAAACACAGAAGAGATCGGAAAATGTCCATTCATCTTATTCACATGAGAGTTGCTGCCCAAGGATTTGTTGTAGGAGCGGTGACTCTAGGTAATGTCTTTAAAGTACATTTTGTAAAAAAAAAATAAAATAAAAAATGAAGTACTCTTTGTGTTCAGCTGTCCTAGACAGAATTTTTTTTTTAAGTTTTGTTTATGTATGCATACAGGAACTGGGGCACAGGCCAGAGGTACAGGGGGAGAGAAGATTTACCAGACAGAGCGGGGAGCAGAGCAGGCAGATCTACGGAAATACACTGCTGAGGGGAGCAGCGGGCGGATCAGAAGTCAGCTGCACAATGTGGGTCATCTCCCTGGCTGGGGATCAAACTCCATGCTGCAGTGGCTGCAGATAGCTTCACAGTGCTGTGCTTTAACCTGTTGTGCCACCAGGGAGGGCCCATGTCCTAGACAGAATTTTTATTTCATTTATTCATATCAGAAGCTGAGAATTGAGTAAAGGTAAAATAGTGGAGGAAGAAAGGTAAGAAAGACTTCACTTGGTTGAGGTTGCCCCCCAACATGGGCTTAATTCTTAGAGGATTGTAAGCGTTGAAGAAAACAAACAAAAGTCTCCAGAGAATGAGGATTAGGGTTTCTTAATTCTCAACAGTAAAAGGAGTGGTCAACAGTTCCTACCCTATGACAGTCATAGTTTGCAGCCTGCTTGAACCACAGATAAAATATTTATCAGTCTATAAATTAAGCAGAAACATATGCAGCCTAATCCAAAGCATAGTTATAAAATTATCTGCTGAATTCAGGTAATATCAACAATTAAATCAGACAGTTCTAAAAGGAAGTCCACTTTGGGACCTAAATTACCTAAAATTGCACGAATGAGAACATCCTCAGGGTCCACGGCTCCCATTCATGCTGCGCAGAATAGAATCAACCTGAGACAGTTCTAGGGTTATAGAATGGTGGGTGTGTGACGTGCCTAAGGGAGTTACATGTAAATTATCTTACTGCCATGAGCTGTGATGTACAAGTCTTGAATAAAATATGACAAAACAAATTACTATAAAGTTATAGGCATCATTTTCATCATTTAGCAATCCTTAGTGAGCACTTACTATGTGCAAGACATTGTGCTGGTCTAGAGAAATAAAGACTCAGTAACCCTCACTGTGGGAACAGACCAGAACAGGAGACAGTAGAAAGTCATCAGTGTTGTGACCAAGAGCACAGGCTGTCAACAAGCCTGAAGGAGGGGCTTTTTTACTGGGGCTAAAAGTCTGGAGTGGCTTCTCTAAGTTTTGTCATATTTTATTCACCACTGTGAGCCAAGAACGTGGAGGAAGGAGATCAGGCTTCTAAGCAGAGGAAAAAACAAAAGGCACAGAGAGGCATAGATTGTTAATGGAGTGCTGGGCCAGCAGATCAGCAAAAACGTACAACAGCGTCTTCCATGAATATATAAGGGTGGTCTAGGCTTCAATTATCCTCTGAATCTTAGGCAAAATGCTTCTTATGCAACAATTCATGGAATAAAAAAGGAAAGGAACCCTGCAGTTATAGTTAATGCTAAACAACACTGACATAACACAAACCCGTCACCATCCACCCCTTGTCAACCAAGTATCCACCTACCCCTATCCAATCTACATTTAACTTCAAATAAAAACAATGAAAAAATCACTCATCACTAGTATAGACAAAAAATGCTCATTTTCCACAGAGGGCTTAAAACCCCTTCATCCACCTCTGGGTAAATACATGGGGAAGAAATTCAGTGTTCGTTTCCTTCCCATGGATACTCTACTAATACACATCTTTTTGTTTCTAGGTGTTCTCTATTCTATGTATAAGGATTACATCAGACCTCGATTCTGCAATATGCCCAAAAAATGAAGCTACATAAAGACAAGAAGCCTTCTGAAAACTAGTTCTTATGAAGAAATTATTTTCAATCTGTGGCAAATGTTTGCTGCAGAGGTATCAGATAGACTTCTCATAGTCTTGGTAGTAAATGTCAATTGTTTAGGACATTTATTTCAAAACCATCTAGCATAGTCAGCTCAAAAATATCTTTTGTGATATCTTTTCAAACCTAGCACATGATTTTTTGACTTTTAACTTTCTAGCTAACAGCAGAAAATAATCTATATTATGTCAAAACAACATGAAAATTAGGAGTTAGTAATGGGGGGACCACAGAACTTTTCTATGATCCTGATAAAGGTGACATTTTATTCGTCACTTGTGAACATATCTTTCCCCAAATAGAGTAAAGTATCAAGACTTCCATAAGCTAATTTTTAGTAAAGGCAGAATTACATCAGAGGAGGCAGTCATGTTGTTATTTAACTCTATTAAGTAACATGCTACTTAGGTTGGTTTACCACTCTGCACCTTATTCATATGAAAATCTGGCTATTTTACCACAAACATAAATGTTTTAACATTGAATATGTATCATTTCTTATGCTTCTTGAAAGTATTTCTGGAATGCCAACGTAAACTCCTAAGGGGCCCCTTCCCTTGATGGTGGTGTGTTGGGGGTGAGAGGCCTGAGTCCAGAAGGGCTCCTGCTACTCTGGCCTGACACTGTAGAAACACAAGAACCCGCAGTGGACATTAGTGTTAAGTAAACCTGTGGCCTCAGACGCCGCTGGCCCTGGCCTGGGTTCTGTAATGGTGACCAGACTTTGCTGAAGTCCTAACTGCGGTGACTCAGGCTTCCTCGGTGAGTCTCCCACCTGGGGGAAGTCCTCCCTGAAAAGACACGGTGTCTGCAACTAAGAATGTGCGGTGGTGATGTCCTTCTGCATTCCAGCTATTGTCCCCGTGTTCTGTTATACACTCTTCTCCATCCACACAAGTACTTAAATTGTCATTTGTACTTAACATGAGGCCCAAGATCTAGTGCCACCAACAAGTATTCACATTTTGGCCAACACTGTGCTCTTTGGAAACAGACAAGGAAAAAATCCGACTATTTTATTCCACTAAGTAAATATCCCAACAGATGGATCGAACATGTTTCATGAAGGTCAGGAAAAGTGAGGACAGCCAGCATAGAAAACTCATCCTTCATGATGAATACACAATGAAAGGGTATTTCTAAACAGCTACTGGAAAATTTTCATTCCCTGAATATAAGCACAACACTGAAAATAGATTAATGAAGTGTTTAATGAGAAAGCGACTTTTCTCACAATACCAACGGGGTTCCAGAGTTGTTAAATCTTACTTTGAGACAACAATAGTAATCTGTTTATTGCTTGAAAATAGTAATGCAAAGCATTAAGAGTGGTTATGCATGAGTACTCACAAACTATACTGAAATCAAAATGTAAATTCATATTTGAAGAAAGGGAGTATGAAAATGCTCATTTATTCATGTCAGCTTGGTAGAGAGGGAGGGTCACTGCAGGAAGACCCCATAGATAGATAATATAGTGTTTGAATGCAAAATATGCCACCAGTGCCAAAGCTCTGGTGACTTAATATGACATCTGGAATTGAGTAGGGCATTTTCATGGCTACTGTAACCAGGGTGTCTCACTTGCTAATTAAACTAGTTTGTATTTAAACTATTAATTATGTGCCTGGATATACAATGATTACCTACTACATTAGAATGACAAAGTTAGGTAGTAGCATCTCATCAGTAACAATGATTTAATTGCATCTTTTTGAAATTCTGGATTTATATGGTCAGAGCATCATTTTGGGGGAAAGGTGGCGTGGAGCCCAGACCTTTGTTACAGAACTGGGGTCTCAAGGCCTTGTCCCATTGAGTGATGTCTCCACCTGAGCTCCTTGGGCGCCAGATGAAAGTGGAGTAGCTTGGGGAGGGGAGCCAGGGGTCATACCCAGCCTGACATTGGGCAGATGAGCAGTCCCAGCCCTCACCCCGTTCATGAGAGGGAATAGGCAAGAAACAGGGTCAGGGCCCTCCCTAGTGGCATAACAGGTTAAAGCGCAGCACCATGAGGCAGGCGTCAGCTGCAGCACAGTTCAATCCCGGGCAGGGAGTGACCCCCACAGCGGAGCAGACCTCTCCTGACCCGCCCGCTGCTCCCTTCAGCACTGTCTCAGTGCACCTGCCTGCTGTGCTGTCTCTGGTGAGTCTTCTCATCCCTCCCGCTTTGCACCCCCCACCCCCGCCCCGCATTTCTGGCCTGTACCCCAGTTCTCCCATGCATACATGCATAAATACATCTCAAAAACAAGAGACCCGGCTTCCTCAGGAGGCGCCTAAGGAACCTCCCCCCACTAACCCGCTTTGGACAAAGCCCATAAAGGGAGGAGGCCGCAGCTCGCTTCGCGCAGGGTCCACCCAGGACCGCGACTCCTGCCCCAGACCAGCCCGCTCGCCTCCACCAGAGGGCGCGGCGGGTCCGCCCACCCCCAGGGGGCGCTGTGGGCGCAGGGGCGAACGGCCGCGACCGCGGCAGGGCAAGGGCCCCGAGGCCGGGAAGGACAAGGCGGGGGCGGCGCCAGGAAGCCCAGAAGCCCCGGGGGACCGCGAGGGGTCACTGGCTGCTCAAGGAGAGGACGTCCTCACATTCGCAGTCGGGTCCTGGCGGACGTCCTCGCTCCCTCAGGGAGAACCGCTTTCCGGCGTCCGCAGAGCAGGGAGGGACGAACGCGCCAAGCCCGGCCCGCCCGGCGCTCTGGGCCCCGGCGGCCGCTCCGCGCCCTGGGGGCGCCAATCAGCGGCCGGCCGAGGCGCATGCGCCCTGGGACGACCCGGGACCCTGGACCGGAAGACAACCTGGGCTGCCGTCCACGCCCTCGCTGTGAAGATGGCGCTGTCCAGGGTGTGCTGGGCTCCGGCTGTTCTGTGGGGTTCGGCGCTCACCCGTGGACCTTATGTCACACGCAGGCTGCAACTCAGCCGCTGCGGCCTGGCCTGGGGAGCCCCTCGGTGAGGGACCTGGAGCGAGAAAAGCGTTTTTGACTTAGCCCCTTCCAGTGTCTGCCGTGCGAGCACGCTGCCTCTGCCTTCTCTTGCTTGCATGCGGTGTCTTGATTTTCAGGGTTCCACGCCCCGGCCTCGGGATTTTTATTCTGCTCAGAAATCGCACCCGGATCCCTGCCGGTGACCTGGCTTCCTGACCCTCTCAATTCTCAGTGCCCCATATTGAATTTCCCGCGAAACCAGCGTTCACCTGTCAGCCTCCCCGCGCGTCACAGGTTTTACCTGCTCCTCCCCTTGATCCCACCTCTGTCCTGCTGCTCTGAGCCTGTCGCTCTGGTCTCCTACCTTGTGCTCTGCAGATTCCTACCACCGTCTGGCATCCCTTCCTGCCTGATCTCCGTGTTGCCTGACCTCTTTTTCTCAGTCCTGTTGGTTATTTCCTTGGTCCAAGATCTTTCCTGGATCTCAGAAGTTTCAGGTCTTAGCAGACACTAAGGCCTGCCTTGTATTAGGGAGCTTGCAGGACTGATTCCCAGATAGTCTCTTTGATGTGTTCCTTGTAGGTCTTCACAGCTTCACCTTTCTCCAAAGGCAGATGTGAAGAGCTTGATTTCTTATGTGGTGACCAAAACAAAAGCGATAAATGGGAGATACCATCAGTTCTTGAGCCACAACTTCCCCCGCTTCTATGTACTGTACACAACCTTCATGAAAGGTAAAAATAAAAGTAAAATAGGAATCCCTGGAATCAGTTTTGGGCAATGTCAGAGAGTTAGAAGGTTTGCAGGTCTGTATGGGGCGGTGACTCTGGATGTTGTTTCTTGAATGCTTGAGTAGTAAATGAATTCTTACATGTTCCTACATCATAAGGATGTGAGAGAAGTGTTCTGAGAAAGTTTGCAATAACAGTAATTACAGAGGTATCTCATAGCCATTCACCTGACTAGTCAGGGTAGACTAGTCTTTCTTGGGCACAAGGGCAGGAATCTCTGGCTGCACAGCGCTGTGCTGGATACTGGCTGGCTTGGCCCAAATGTGTCCAAGGTTGTGTTTGGAAATGGCACTCGTATACTTGGTTTTTGCATGTTTGGGTTCATATCACATATCTGCTGGTTACTAGGAGATGGTATAGTGTCCACGTCACTGACTATGATTGACAAGTTACTTGAACCCTGTGACCCTTGGTTTTCTCATCTGTCCCATGGAGATAGAAATAGGAACCTACCTATGGACCTACCTGGTTGTGAAGGTTAGATAAATCAATACATGTCCTTAGGGCCTGCTTTATGAATCAATTAGTGTACTTATAACTATTGTTATACTCTGACTCCAGTTACATTAAAGTACATCATGGTTATTACCAGCCTTGTGAACTTGCAAAATTGCTGATCTTTATGTGTTTAAAATTAGAGATACAAGTTGTTGCTTGGTTTGCACCTAGAATGATAAGGAGGATCAGATAAGAAAGGGTTTTAAAGCATCTTGGTTGGTTTGTTTTTAAGCCTTGTGAAAAATTTTAAATATACACAGAATTAGAATGGTACAGCGAAGTTCCTTGTACTGAACTCACGTCAGCAATTATAATAGCATGGCTGCCGGTCACACACTTCCCTTCTTTTGCATTACTTTTAAGACTTCAGCGACTTTATATCATCTTAGTGATAAGTATAAAAGCATTTGCAAAAACGAAAGTCCTAGTTAAATGTAAGGGTTATCATAAATAGAAAATTAAAACTCCAGTCATACAAGTACATTGACTTAAATAGTTATAAAAGTACTCTAGAGACAAGGTAAGTTAATATCTGATTGAGAAATGCGTATCATTCATTGAGCAATACTCTCAAGGTCAAGAAACTTTGACTGTTCATTTTAAAAAGAGAGAGAGTAGTGACCTAGTTGAGGAGACTGCACAGTCGATTTCAGAAGGCTGGCATGGCTGGATGAGGAGAAAGGGATGAGAAAAGAGACACAGTGTTCTCACAAGAGTTTCCAGTCATCTAGTTTAAACTTTCAATTTAGATTAGTGTTGGGGAGGGGTGTGTGTGTGTGTGCGTGTGTGTGTGAAGAGAGAGAGAGAGAACATGGAGTAGGAAGATTCAAACTGGGATAACAGCACACTATGTCCTCTACTTTAATGAGGCAGGATTGCAGATGTTATGGGCTGATGCCAAAAAAGCTAGAAGAATAAAGGCAAATATGTCGAAGCACAATATAAAGTTTCATCAACTTTCATACCGGGAGATGGAGCATTTGAGACAGGTATGGGCCAGGGGCAGATATCAGAAGTTCACGGTGAGGTAATTAAAGTAATTAAAGTTAACCAAGTTTTCAAGTTTTTTTCTTTCCTCTCTTGTTCACACTCATGAAGCTATTGCCCTTTGTATGAGATAAAAGCACTAGAGAAATAAGAACTTCAGATTGTCAGGGTTGGATTCATTTAGAGTCCTCCACTTCAGAGTTCTGCATGGACTTCCTGGCACACATTCCAAATAACACTAAAATCTAACTTGTTTCTGGGCTTATAAACACCCTCAGGACCCAGTGGGCAGCAGCAGAGTAGTGTTTGGTGGTGACTGATGGGTAGTTTTGGAGCAGAGATAAGAATTTAGGACCAAACCTGCAGATCAGCAAGAACCTATGGAGGAGCTTGATAGGCTGCGCGTGAGGCCCTGTGCTATTCATTGTTTGGGATACAAAAGCGAATAAATTTGGGTTGCTCGCCTCAAGGAACTTAACATCAAGATGTCAGGAGATATAACTTGGATCCTTTCTGGGCTGTATTAGAATTTTCTGTACAGTGGGCTGGAAGTATTGTCCATATTTTAAGAACTTACCTACATTAAAACTGTCTTTGTTTATTTCTATTTAGTTCCGACGAGACATCACCAAGTGTCTTTTCCTAGGTATTATTTCCGTCCCACCCTTTGCCAACTACCTGGTCTTCTTACTAATGTGAGTACAAACTTTTGTATCCTGTGAGATCAAAGCTATGTGGGGTGTTCCTATATTATATTGGGCAGGACTTTCCCTTGAGAGGCTAGGCAGAAGTTATCAAACTTCCTATTGCAACCTCCCACTAGCCCAAGCTTCAGCAGAGCCCTCATCGACCTCCAGCACTCCTGGGACAGCTGTCGATGGGCGTGACCTAGGCTTCCCCTATTTCTTCCCCTATTGCTCTGTATGTGTGATAAAGATAATGACGTCTTCCATCATAGGGCACATTTTTTTCTTCAGGAAAAAATGCATTTCTTCTTTGGGCACATAAGCCTGTAAGGCTTTCATATCCAAAGGTGACACTTTTAAACTGAATTTGCCTGTTCCAGTAAGATATTGCTGTGTTAACAACTTCTATGTTTTATGATTTGGTGGGATTTGGGGAGAGCTCAGGTGAGTGACTGATTTTTCTTATTTGACTGAAGGAAGGTCCTCAGTGACATTTAGCTGGGGATGGACTAACCTGGGCGGGGAAGGGGGATGTCTGAAGTCACTTACATCCGGTGCCTCAGCAGGAGGGACTGGAAGACAAGCATCAACCAAAGTGTCTCTATGTAGATTCTTAGTACGTTTGCTTCAGGGTAGAGGGACTTCTTACGTGACTCCAACAGGTGAGTATTCCGGCAAACAAGAACCCTTGTGGCCTTTTGTTGCCTAACTTGGAAGTCACAAAGTTTTTATATTGTTATATTGTTGGTTGAATTGGCCACCCGTCTTTCTATTTCTTATATTCAAAAAGGCAGGTTTATTAATAAAAAGGGAGGGAAATTAAAGGAAGAGCTGCCCCACACAGGGACAGGTTGTGAAAGCTCCACCCGCCCTGCCGAGTCACAGGCAGGCAGGAGAGCTGCTTACCTGGGCTTTGAAGGGGAACACAGCTCTCACTTCTTCCTAAGACAAGCTCCAGAGACGTGTGGCCATGCAGAGGTCTGCGGTTGTCACCACGGCACGCGGAGTTTAGCTCTGTTGGCAACTCTGTCCAAAATGTGCCCTTCACACGCTTCAGTTCACACTTACCAGGTTGCTTAGCGCTGAGCCGCCGCCCTCTTCTTCCTCCCTCCCCGCTTCAGTCTGTTGTTGGTGTGGGCCCTTGAAGCCTTGCCCTGAGACTCAGTTATGAAAAGAAAGCTGAAGCGGGAAAGTCTAGTCTCCACACCCGTCGCTTTCTGGTCACTCTGAAAGGTGCCAGTGTCAGCGAGTGACTGATTCTTTTTCCTTGCAGGTACTTGTTTCCTAGGCAACTCCTGACCCAATATTTCTGGACCCCGAAGCAACGGATTGATTTCTTAGACATCTATCACGGTCTCCGGAAGCAGTCCCACACAGACATCCTTAAACACTTAGAAAGGGTCGCTCCTCTCATCTCTGATGCGGGGCTCCAGTGGCATATGAAGGAGCTGTGCGCCAAGGTATCTCCGTAACTGGCGACCTTCTTAGATCCAGTTCACACTAAAACGAGGTCAGAGGGTGAGCAGGAGCCTCCTAACATCTGCCTTTTCCTTGCCCCCAGATTCAGCGTGGTACCCACCCAGCAATCCATGACATCCTGGCTCTGAGAAAGTGTTTCTCAGACCATCCTCTGGGCATGATGCAGCTGGAGACTCTGCAGATGGTGAGTGCCGAGAGGCTTCCCCACCGCCCCTCTCTGCCTCAGGTCTTTGCTTGCTGATTTCCCCCTATGTTATTGTGTCCCAGAAAGCCTTGAGTCGAGCCATGCTGCTCACACCTTACCTGCCTCCTCTCTTATTGCGACACCGTTTAAAGACTCACACCACTGTGATTCACCAACTGGACAAGGCTTTGGCAAAGCTAGGGATTGGCCAGCTGACGGCTCAGGAAGTGAAATCGGTAAGCGGTGGACGCAGTGAGCCGCTGAGCTGACAGGGGCCTGGGAGCTTACAGAGGGCCACGTGTCAGCTCACCATAGCAACACCTACCTCTCTGTCCTCTCCTCCAGAATGGGGCCTGTCTTTTATCCTCAGCGAGTGGGGAGGAACTGCCCACAGTAACTTGACTTGTGTTTCTCTTCAACTGGCGCTTCAAGTAACCAAGGATACACTTTGCGCCAGTGTTTATATCACCCAGGGCTCTTGGCTTGCTTCTTGTCCGTCACAGTTCAAATTATGATAGTGAAAGTTGCCTGAGGGCGGAATTGTGGCTTATCTAAAGGGTTTGGATTCCTCGTGGGTTTCCCCTTCCTTGGCATACTCTCTGTGACTACTGAAGCCCTCTTTCCTCTGAGTGCACAGGCTTGTTATCTCCGTGGCCTGAATTCCACCCATGTTGCTGAAGAGCGGTGTCGAACCTGGCTGGGAGAATGGCTGCAGATTTCCTGTAGCTTGAAAGGTAAGACAGATTCCTAGTTAAAGCAGCTAAACCCAAGTCACTATTGCAAGTTATTCTAAGATTGTTTGGGCGTTGGGTGCAGTGGGTAGGCAGGTGTGGAAGTAGACTGTGTAAGATGGAGTAGTGGTGACTGTGGAGCAGGGGAGTGCGTGGAGAGTAGAGCGGTTTCTCCACCCCAGCACTACTGATGCTCAGGGTGGGAGATGATCCTGCGCATCACAGGAACACAGGCTGAGCAGTATTCCAGGCCTCTACCATCTAGATGCCAGTGGGACCCTTTCCTGGCACCAGAAGGGTCTTCAGACATTCCGCATGTCGGTAGGGTAAGGGAACAGCTGAGCAGCACCAGTCTGAATTCCAGTTCAGACCAGAGACCCTCATTTGGCTACATAAAAAGGTATCCAAGAGTGAGTCCGAGGCCTGTGGATCTCCTGTCTGGAGACCACGGTTGGCTAGATGTTGATGTTTCCTGAGCCCTTGGATATCAGGATAACCTTACTAATCTCCTGGGAGCTGAGAAATGCCCCGGGAGCATCAACTCTGCCAGAAGAACCCCAAGGGAGACAATGGTATTGAAACCATCATTACCATCTCTTTATTTTCTCCTGCCATCACTTGAGTGATGTAGATGAGTAGATACGAGCCTGTGGTGGAAGGAAGGGAAAGCAGGAGTGCTGGGGCTGGGCAGCAGGGTCCCGCCTCCAGCGTCACGCCTCCCTGCCCCGGCTTCCGCCTCTGGGGTCGAGCCCAGGACACCGAGGCGGTTGGAAGGCGGACTGTGCCCTGGCCGACGCGTTAACACTGGTGGTGTCTTCAGAAGCAGAGCTGTCCCTCCTGCTGCACAACGTGGTCCTGCTTTCCACCAACTACCTGGGGACGAGGCGCTGAGTGAGCGTGGAGATGCCACTGTCCTGCGGTCACACAGCACAGCAGCGCGGGACCAAGCAGCACTTGCCAGCGAGTCTGTGTGTACTGCCAGGCGTGTGGGAGGGGAGCAGGTGCACAGGCTTCCCAGTGTGGAAGCTGAACAGAAACAAACCCTCTTACCAGGGGTGGCCCAGGTGAGGTGTCACCCCAGCTCCCGCGGAACTAGCTGCCGCGGGCAGCAACCTCCCTGGGCTCTGTGATGTTCTCAGTTCAGGCCCCAGGCTCCCGCCGCGGTGGGCGCCGCATTGGTTAGGCCTCGTCCGCTGCGTACTCTGTACAGCTGTTTCTGTGAAAGGCGGTTTCTGGCTCGGGTCGGGAGCAGCTCTGAACTGGGTCCTTTGACCCGTGCATGTTTCAGTGCTTCCCCAATCCTCCTGACACGACCAAAACTGGTTTTTTTTTGTCCGCTCCTTGGACTAACCACACCGTCCCCTTTCCAAGTCCTTTGAACACTTCTGTTCCTTGCCCCCTACAACCTCTCCCTCACCCCCCATAGCTATGTTAACTTTAGTAGATAAAAAGAAACAATTGCTTCTTTGACTCCTTTCCATCCAACACCCCCTTGTCTTAATTTCTGGGCTGTGCTACAGCCTCTCTGGATCTAAACGTGGCTACCCTCACTGCATTGCAGCAATACAGCTGTAACCAGAGGTAGCTGCCTTCTTTAAGCCTTGGGTCAAACATGTGAGGTACCTGCTGCCCAGCCTGGGAGACCAGGAGAGGTCTGCCTCAAGGCAGTAAGTTGGGTTAGTTTGTGTATGTGTACATTTGTGGCTTGTAGTAACTTACTGTAAATGCATGAAGCACAGTTTTTAATCCCAAGTAAAGACTGCTTGAAACCAGTAGCTGCAAATGACTTATACTCTATAATCGCTTTGCTAAGTCTCCTTTTACGAGACTGACATAGCCTTACTAATGGGGAGAGAACTCTGGAATAGTGTCTTCTGAAGGGGGTGGAAGTTAGGAAGTGCGCGATTTGAAGTCGATCCTCTTGCTGGATTTTAAGATGGTTATCTAGGAAAAAAGATGCAATGGGCCCGAGTAGAGACTTCAGACTGAGAAGAGAGAAGGAGCCAGGCCTGCTTCCGCTGAGCAGTGCAGCGGGCATCTACGTGATCAAGTCAAGCTCTTGATGCTCTGACAGAATGTTGTTTTCCTACCACAAAACATCCTGTTTCCCATTAATCCCTAACTGACCTAATTTGCTCTATACACAGTGCTGGAAGAACACCCTTTCTCTTAACAAGTAACTGTACTGCGACCTGCCAAGATAAAGGATAACCCACCATTCCTTTGAATATTTCTTTATTATTACATTTAAATATTCTCTTTAAATACAGCATTATCACAATGTAAGGACCTAAAAGGAAAACAAAAATTGTTTTCAGAGAACCAGACAAGCTTTGGATTCACATTGAAAATACTACCTGTGTACAGTATGCGAGAAAGGAGACTGGACAGTGGTGAGCTGCAGCAGTAAGTCGCTTCTTTCATCTAGGCCTGGAGAGCGGGACTGAAGCCGGCTGCTGCTGTGAGCAGACTGGCTTTCCCAGCAGCGTGGGTGACCCTTCTGTCCAACTCAGGTAGCACCAGAGATGAGATGGACGAGGTTGTAGAGAAGGCCTGTGCTTGACAAGACAATTACTGCTAAATATTTCACTACTCAGCATTTTAAAGCTTGGGGTCAGTGAGTCAGAATGGCAGGCAAGGCAGGACGGGCTTAGTTAAGAAACTAGTTTTCAGGAAAACATCTTGGGCTTGGCAATGAGTTTAATAATCATATTCAAATTTTTTGTTTGACCCCAAAGCCATTGTCTCCTACTGACCTGCTGGGATCCTCCTCCCAGGTTTTAAGCCAGCGCTTGCTAAGGAGGGAATGCGTCGAGCAACTTCCCTTGGGGCGCAGACTTTCAGAGAGTCTTCTCTCTGTAAAGTCAAATCCCCAATTCAGCTTCAGTCTTGTATTTGAGGGTACCAGTCTAAGACGGGGAACTGTGGCTCAGTCTGGGATAGCATTTTGAACTCAGGTACTTAAGACTCAACTCTGATTTATGAGGCTAGGGCGTGGGGAGAGCTAAGGACCTTAATTAAAAACTGCTCCAAATGTAAAACCAAGCAAAAAAAGGAATGCACAGGAAATGCAGAATGGGCCAAAATATGTATCCGTGTTAACTAGGAGAACTTTCAGGCTCAATGCAGAGATTCTAGAGGTGAAACTGCTGGGACACAGGAAGGCTGCTTTAAGACAGCCAACATCCACAAGGAAAGGCTTAGCGAGCAAGGTAAGTAGAATGGTCCTCTCCCACTCCCAAAGACGTTTGCTCTTTTCTGATAAATTAACCAAGCCAGAAGTGAAGCACTGTGTGAAAGAGTAAGTGAAACACTAGAGAATGCTTGAAATGGCTGCCTCAGTTTCAAAACAGTCTAAGATAACGTGACTAATAAAGAATTCAGTGGTGTAAATTGGAGCAGACCATGGAACGTGAGTTGGACTTGGGAGGAACAGGAACCACATGTCCTCTGGAGAGGTAAGAACTGAATGAGAGCCGTTCTGAAACTCCCCAGAGGTTAGAGTCAGAGCTGAATTCTCTGGAACCTGGAGTTGCACGTTTCGTCTAAGCACTGGACTGCCTTCCAAATTTTAAGTGTCAGTAACATGGTCCGATAAACACCGCAATTTGGAGAGTAAGCAGGAGTAGCAGAACTCGCGAAGCTGGTATCCCCGAGGAGGGAGAGACAGGACATTCAGACAAAAACTGATGGGTGGCCCCAGATGCCACGCCTACACTCCATTAAAGCTCACATCTCCCAGAGGGAGCAGAGGACCTAGGCGGGAAAGCGAGCCCAGCGCAGGTCCCGTGACTTCCCAGACAGCGGCCTGTCCCTGCTGCTCTCGGGTGGGGTGTGACTGACGCTCGGCCACCTGACAGCTGACTCGCGCGCTTTGTGCCACACACCCAGCAGTTTAGCTCCTTTTCTTCAAAGGAAAACGGAGGAGGAATAAGAAAAGACAGACATGTTTCAGTCTAGTACCTAGAACATGTGAAAAACAATTCAAGTTACAGACCAGGAATCCCCACTGTGGGGAAGAGAACACCAAACATGTCTTAACTTATTGACCAGACAGGGTGGCCCGAGAAAAGCAGGTAAAATTTTTCAAATCCTGGAGGTTCTGTACAGCAGCAGAGACTCTTCCTCCCGCCCTCTCTAGATCTGATCAGGTGACTTCTCCACTGTAGTACGATACATCGAAATGGGCTCTCAGCGTAACCACTGAGGAAAATCAGCGTGTACCTCTGGAGCTCAGGAGAGGGGTTTGGTCGTGCTACTCATTCTGTTCTGGTCCCTACATAAAAAATAACTGCTTGAGTTACCCAGCTCCTCTATGAGATTCTAGTTCTTTGTTCCAATGGCCCAGAAAGCTCAGTATTCAGCACTACGCAGCCTTCTCTGCCCCGAGACAATCTCCAGATCAAGTTGGGACTGGTCTCCTTGGTTCTGTTTCCCCTTTTAAAAATAACTTGTACAAACAATCCTTTCCCACACCAAAGACCCCGATAAAATAACCTGGGAGCAGCAGGTGCTTCTACAGTTCCGTTTTGAAATAGTGTTAGATAAAATAAGGGAATAAATAGAGAGTGGGTCAGCGGCGGAATCTCCACCCCATGTCACACTGCCAGAGGGAGCTCGAGGGAAGGCTCTTCGGAGGGCCGGTCCTCACTCTGCTGGGAGGGCTTCTCCACCACACAGCCCTCTTCACTGTCCGTGCAGAAGGGGAGGCTTGAGGGGGGCCAAGAGGGGCAGAAGTCTTCACTCTCAGGCTCCTCAGGGTTACAATCTTCGGGCACTAGCGCTTCTAGAGTGGATGTTTTTCCCACCTCTGATTTACAGAGGGCAGCTGGGTCTGTGGGGCTACAAGCCACCAGTGAGGTAACAGGGAGAGAGAAGACATTCAGATCCTTCTCCTTGGGGAAAGAGGGTGGGCCCTCTTCTGTACTAGACTCGCCTTTCACCCCCAAAACTGGCCTCTGCTCCACCTGGTAATAGACCAGGGGCCCACTGTTCAAGTAGGAGGGGCTGTTCACTGCCGAGGCAGTTGCGTGGTCCGCGTTCTCCGCAAAGCACAGGACAGAGGAGCCGGGGGGCAGCTGTGCCTGGATGAGAATGGGGGCCGTGAGGCCTGGGCACAGCTCTTCTGGGACGGCCAGGGGCTCCTCCAGGATGCACACCCCCAGGCTCTCGATGCTGGAGTCCAGGCTGGCACTGGAGCCGCTCGAGTCTTCCTCCGCCTTGAGCCGCTCCAGTTCCTCCGCGCTCTGAAGGTGCATCACTGCTGTCTCGTTCTCAGCAATGAACTCCTGGAAGTCCTGCGTCTCGGAGCCCTGTGCTCCTGACAGGCTGCAACTGGCAGCAGGCGAGGGCTCCTCATCCGGGGCTGGCAGGCGGCTCACCTGCCGCTTGCTCTCCAGCTCCAGCTTCATGATGGTGTGGAGGTAATGAGTCCGGACCCGGATGGGGTTGAATTCAATGCGTCCAGCCATGTTCCCACAGCCATCCCGGGAGCAGCCGCAGGGAAAGGACATACGATCCACCTGAGAAGGACACAGGGCCAAGGTGAGAGCAGATTTAACTCTGCAGCTCGGAGATGAACACGACAAGCTGGGGTCTGAGACTTAACAAGAGAAACAATTCAAAACAAAACATGCAGTGTGCGCTAAGAGGTGCTCGATGGGAGTTCGCAGACCACCTGTGTTCCGGTCCCAGTGGAGCCGTGAATTAGTGTAACTCCGGGAAGGCCTTTGTGCTTCTAGGGCAGTGTTTTTGCAACAAAAAATGGATTAAGAACATGCCAAAGAATCCTTCCAGTTAAAAATTTAGAAGTACCTTGTGCTTTAGAAGCTTTCAAGAATTTGCCAAGTTTATCAGGAAAAGAAAAAGCTAGGGCCCAAGTTTACTGCTGTGAGAAGACGGGGAGAGGGAAAGCTCCAGCTAGATCCACGCAGTGCATTCTGAGCAAACGAAAACGGAGGGTCAGAGTACCGGCCAGCTTTTCACTATGTGCTGCATTTCCCCCTGACAGTAGACCAGTTTGGTTCTGAAGCAATTACCAAGATTATGTACAGACGAGGCAATCTCTGGAAAGGACATGCTTTCTCCCTCCATATTTCTCTTCTGGCTCCCCACAGGGGGAAAAATCCACACATACCAAGAATAAAAATTTACATTAAAAACACAAGCAAGCGGGCCCTCGCTGATGGTAGAAAGGGTTAAAGCACCGCACTGTGAAGCTCTCAGAAGCCGCTGCAGCACGAGTTTGATCTCTGCCAGGGAGTGACCCACATGGCGCGGCAGACCTCTCCTGACCCGCCCACTGCTCCCCTCAGCAGGGTATTTCAGTAGATCTGCCTGTTCTGTTCCCCTCTCTGTCTCTGGTGAAGCCTCTCACCCATCACACCTCTGGCTTGTACCCCAGTTCCATAAGCATAAATAAATAAATCTTAAAAAAAAAAACAAAAACAAAACAACAAGCAAATAAACGTGCAAACACAATGTTTTCCTGTGATGTCAACTTATGGAAGTTCCTATTCCAGTTCTTAGGAACAGTCCAGAGAACAGATTGTTCTTAGTTTGTGCGTAACAGACTGATTCATTATGGAACTTCAATCTCAAAAACAATTATTTGGCCAGATCTGATAGAGCTATTTGTTACTAACCTAAAATTAAGACAGAAAAGATTGGTCAGGATAAATTCTACCACAAAGACTCAGCATCCACACCCTTAGCACACAGAATTCCAGGTAAAGTTCCCTCTCGGGGATGGTCCACAAGGATCACTGTGATGTCTCGCACAACTGTCCCTTGTCAGAGGACACCCGGGGTGAGGCGTTCTACCTTTCAGGCACCTTAATTTAAGCTCTGCCAGGTCTCATTCTGAATTGTGGGATCCCAGAAGTATTCTGAGTTTTACAAAACTGGAGTGAAGGTGCTTGCAAATGAGTGTTTGCAAGATAAAGGCTAAAGGCCTCGCTCATTTCTCTGCTTCCTTTTAGCTAAAGGAATGAATACTTAAGGAACAGCTACTCAGTGTTCAATTTATTAAATCCCTCCAGTGCTGACTGTTATTTCTTACCCCTCTGAGGTGTGAAACAGCCTACGAATCCTGCCATTCTTGTTTTCTTGGCTGCAGGAGGCCGTACACCTCAGTACAGGACTCAGTCATGGGGAATCCTCCCACGCAAGGTGTGCGTACTCCCTGGCCACTGGCACCCACAGGCCTCTGACTCCACTGACCTCCCATCGCGGACCACGTGGACCGACCTGGCATTTAATCCCCGCCTGGCTGCAGGCACACGCTTCTGGGTCACAGTACAGCCGGCAGTCACAGCCACACTCTTCCCGGGACAGGCGGATGGCTCGCAGTTCTTGCTTCTCTTCCGCATCAATGCGGTGTACCCCAGAAGCCCTGAGCAGGGCCCGTCGCCGCTTGGTGGGCAGAGGCTGCAGGAAGAAGTAATCGTCCACCTCCACGTTTTCCACATCAATGTCTTCATCCGAAACATCATCCAGGGTCAGGCCGTCGGCCTCCACTGACTCCACAGTCCCGTTCTTGGTGAGCTGCCGAGAGACAGACGGGTCAGCCTCCTGGCCCCAGCGGCACCAGGCTCCGCACAGCGAGCGCTCAGGTGCCCGGGCCTACCTGAGCCTGGGGGTGATGGAAGCACCAGCGAAGCCACCGCCCCTAGGCCTGTGAGTGCAGCAAGTGAGGGCTCAATTTTTGATTTTCACGAAGTGTGAACAGCCACAGGTGGCGAGTGGCTACTGTGCTGGTTAGTGGAGGTCCAGAAAATAAACGCAGGGCAGGTGGACAGGGAGCCTCACGCCATGTTACCACCTCCCTGTCAAGACATGGGACGTCACTTTTCTACATCAAAGTTTCTAAAGCCCATTTCATATCCCTCCTAGAAGGTAACTGTTCCCACAAATAGGAAGGAACAAGACAGGGATAGATTAACAGCTAGATCGTTCCTCGGATATATAAATAACCTTAAACTAGCCAAAGGGACCCAAAACCACCTTTCTTAGAAGAAAAGTACTTTAGGGCATTTTCAAGGCTCCAGGTCTTTGTACGTGCACAGACCAGACCCTGCTTAACTAGAAGGAAAAAAGCGAGACAATTAGGCCCTCCCTGGTGGCGCAGCGGGTTAAAGCGCAGCACTGAGAAGCTAAAGCCACTTCCACATGAGTTCGATTCCCGCCCGCTCTGGAGGTGACCACATGGTGTGGCAGACCTCTCCTGGCCCGCCCGCTGCTCCCCTCAGCAGTGTACTTCGTTGATCTGCCTGTTCTGCTCCCCGCTCTGTCTCTGGTGAAGCCTCTTGCCGCCCCTGAGCCTCTGGCCTGTACCCCAGTTCTGAATGAACAAATAAATAAATCTTTAAAAAAAGAAAAAAAGCGAGACAATTAGGAACAGCTATCCAAGAAAGATCTCCGTTCCTAACTAAATCTGTTTTCCTTTCTAACGCTTTTTTCTTTTAATATAATAATTTATTTTTACATCCTTTTGTGATTTTTTTTCCATCTCAGTTGTAATCCCCATGGGCTTCCCATCACCAAGTCACTCATGTGCCATCAACACAGTCTAATGATTTGTTTTTTAGTATCAGAAAAGGCAGCATGTTAGGCAGGATGGCACACATGCCCCTGAATGTAGCACCCACAGGCAGAATCCGGGGTCCTCTGCCCGAGACAGAACAGAGCCCAGGGAGGGATCGTGGTGGGAGGACAGCCGAAGACCATCTGTGGCTGAGTTTTGCGAACTCACTGGGGAAGTCGAGTAAAGAAAACGAAGCCGCTGTGCCAGTCACCTCGGTGCGCTGGCAGCGAGCCGCAGGGGGAAGCGAGGCCACAGGGTTTGGCTTGTTTCATCAGACGGCCAGAGCAGAGCTGGCGCAGGAACAGCTCCTGGGGGAGCTGTGCCGCCCAGACCTGGGGGAGAAGCTACACACTTGGTTTTTACTGGTTGGGGGGAGACGGCAGAGAGTGCGAGGACTACAGTGGGGCCCAGGGCTCCCTCACCTGTGCTCTGGTAAAGGTTACACCTGTACCAGGCGGGCCTTTCCACAGCCTCTCAGATTACTCCGTCTGTTTTTCCAGGGGTGGCTTTCTCCTAGTCACTAACTCTTCAAAGTAAAAATTAGAAATGCAACAGAAAGAAACCCATGCTGCTGAGAAGTTACCATGTCCTAACAGAGGTGGCATTTCACATTAGTGAGAAAGAGTCTCTAGTCATTAGCAAGATTGGGGCAACTGGTAGTTCTTTTGAAAATAATTAGGGTTAGCTTCCCGACTCATGTGACTCATAATGATAAATTCCATAAGGATAAAAGGCTGTAGAGTAAAACAAAAGAAAGTAAGAGTATTAGCAAAGCTATGGGTAATGGAAACTGCAGCGCTCCAGCAGCGTTTTGCTTCTCTTTTTTGATGGCAGTGCAAAATTAGACGGCATACGGGAGCTGTAAAATACACAGACCTGAAGCCTACTGCCTCCCCTGTAAAGAGCTAATGACAGGGGAAAATGCTAATGTCTAACGTGCACCTAAGGAGGCAAAACAAGAGTTTTCTACTGACAGAGTAAGATGCACTAGATGTCACCTCTGCTGCTGCTCCCTGAATCTGCTCCTAAGTCGGAAGCCCGCAGCTCAGCCTCGGGTTTGCCTGGCTTTGCCCCAGCCCACGAGGGAGGCCACAGGACAGCGTGGTGTCCGGTGTGACAGCTCATAGCCTCCGCCATATGCAGAGAGGTTTCTTCTATGGAAAAAGGAAGAAAAGTAAGCCTTCACTCAAGTGATGAGTGTTTGCTTGCCAGCTGTTGCTAGAGCAGCACAAAGGTGACAAGGTCAGTGATGGAATTCCTCAGAAGAAACGGAAGCCTGAATGTCAGTCTAGTGGGTAGAACAGGTGTGAGGCTTTAGAAAGCTGAGGAAAGTCGATGCAGTGCGCTCCGCAGGAGACAGGAATGAGACTGAGGCAGCCTGGCTCCAGCTCTCCAACCTGACCCCACTCTGGTCTCATCAGAATTTCAACCACAACGCTCAGCCATGACACAGCCACCTGTTTTCATAACGCATGCCTTGGACCCTAAAGAAACCTGACCTGGCCTAATGCTGTGTCCACCCAGTTCGGAGCCAGAAGCTGGGAGAGTCTCTGGGCTGGGGGCTGCGGGTGCCAAGCAGCATTAAGGGCAACAGGCAGTGCCCCGGGCACGGGGCCTCTGCCGTCTCCCACCGCGCAGGGCTGGTGCTGCACCCAGGGCAGACCCTGTGCTCCACCAACCCAAGGGCCTACCTGGGCCTGCTGTCCACGCCAAGGAGACTGCCACCTAGAGGTGCCGGGGCCGGGGGGGTCTTCCTAAGAGAAGGTCAAAGCTCTGAACCTGTTCTGTGTACTGGGCCACAGACAATCCTTTGCTAAGAATAGGGAACTTGAGCCTTTTCCAAGTCATAGCAGGGCAGGCTGGGAGAAGTCACATTTAAACTTTAAGCTACTCTCGCAGACTCACCAGAGATCATAACCAGGGTCTCCTACTGAGACTTCTCATCAGAAAGATTTGAAATCTCTGCACACCAAGGACAAAAGTTAAAAACAAAAAAAAAGAGCAAAGAACCTAGATGGCTTCCGCTTTGTCCTGTCACACAACTAGTGCCAGCCCAGGCCCCTCAGGTACCTTCATCTTCTTGGCATGAAGCTTCTCCTCCTTCAGGTGCTCACGAAGAATCTCCCGGTGGTTCACCTCCTGTTCTTGAGCAAACTCACAGAGCGTGTAGCTTCGTACGGAGTTGTGGCGCTGGGCCATGCCCAGAGAGCTACCTCCCTGGCTGGGCACACTGGTGAAACCCTGACGCCGGGCAAAGTAGTACACTGTCACCTGGTCAAAGCGGACATTCTTCCTCCGGAGCTGCTTCTGCCGCTTCAGGATGGAAGTGGCTGGGAATGAAGCACAGAGGGTTTTAGAACCCAGACACGGCCTGTGTGGAGACCTCACTCTCTCCTATCCAATGCAGCTCCCAACAGGCCCCTTCTACCTATGCACAGCTCTGACTTTCACATCATAAAGCACAGTTGGAAGGGATCTTGAACACAGCAGCTCCGCACCAATGCCTCCAGACGGGTTCTCCAAACAGATGACCCCACAATCTATCTTTAGACATCAGCTGGGAAGAGGAGTGCTAGGTAATCTTTTCGGAAGTTAATCATAGATAGCTTCACGGTTCAATACAACAGCTGTTGGCCACATGTGACTATTTAAAACTATGTGAATTAAAAGGAAATAAATTTTAAAATTCACTCCTTCAGTTATACCAAGGACATTTCAAGTCACATGGCTACCGTGTTGGCCAGGGCAGAGAGAGAACATTTCTGACACAACAAAACTCTGTCTGACAGCACGGTAGCAGGGAATGGTAAACAGCTTCCACAGAGGCTAAAAGTAAATATTTTAGGTTTTGCGAGCCAAGAGGCACTGCTCAACTACATGACTCTGCCATCACAGCACAACAGTAATACAGGCAATGGACACAGCCGCGTTCCAGAAGAGCACAGCAGGCTAGAGCTGACCCACAGGCAACCCCGGTCCAGAGGATCAGAAGTTCTTTCCAAGAACTAATTGAGCCCTGACAATTAAGCTAGCCAGAGGGGCCCACATGGCACCGCCAGGCTGTAGTAACATTTATGTCCTGCTAGAGATAGCATTTCATGGGACTCTGACTCAGGTGGGGATGGACAGAACCCTGAATTCCTTGTGTCATTTAATTCAACTCATCCTGGGCCCACAAAGCAGAGCGTCAGTAAAACCAGCCGGCATGAATCAGATTAAAATCTATGATATTAAAGCAGTAAGGTCCTTCCGAGAATAAGGGTGAGCTGCGTGGGAAAGTTACGATTAACGGTGAATTCCCAAACTGGGTAGAAGAGGCTGTCTCAGGAGCCGCAGTGGGTTCTGACGCTTGGGGGCGGGGTGCAGACGAGGAGGAGAGCGCACTCACGCGTGAAGCTAGCAGCGGTCGGCGGATTGAGGCTGTCGCAGCTGTCAGCACTGTCACTGCTAGAGATCTCATCGTCCGAGTTGGAGACCGATGAGCCCACATCCACATCATCAAACTTTCTCTTGAGACCCGAGACCGTGAACGCATCCATTGGCTTCAAAGGGGTTCCTTTGGGGAGCCCACCACGTTGGCGCAGATGGCCCTGCTCACCACCAGCTAGCCAGGTGCATTAGGATTCTGCCCAGGGGAAAAGAGGCGTCAGCACCCTGGGCACAGGCGGCGGGCTCCAAGTCCACACCCACGCGCGCCCCCAGTGGGGAAAGCCAGACCCGGACCTGAGGGAGGTCTGGTCTGAGGACTAGGGCCCTCTCCACGTATCCAGCCAACATTCTCCTACTTTGCATCCTCTTAGCCCCGCTATTCGTGGTCACCCCTAGAATACTGAGATGAGCGGCAGCAGCACCTTTCCGTTGGTGCCACGACAGCCAGGCTGGGGTGAGGTGCGGGCAGTAGCTGCTCTTCTGACCCCACAGGAGAGCTCTCCAAGGGGCCAGCGGGAGGGACTGGGGAGCAGAGGCAGAATTAGGCTGTGCCTAAACCTACACTAGAGCTAATTATTCTTCCTAGTGAGGATACGGCTAGCATTTCCCAGAGTGTATATATTAAATAAACTAGTTCCATGGATATTAATAGCTTTTACACGGAAATAGGACTGCTGGGTGAAAATAGTTCAGAAAACTGCTATGGGAGGACCTCTCAGAGGCTTTTAATATGCTAATGAGCACGTTGGAGGGCGCAGAAAACGGTATGCAGTGTTTCACACCCCTGATTACAGAACCCTTCTGCTCCCAGGGTATCTGAGGGGCCAGTGATCCGCAGGAAACACTTTGGAAAAACTGCTCTAGGCTCTCAATTTCAAAGTGCACTGGCAGCCAGGGAACCTTTTATCCAGCTCTTCACAAGTGTACAGTAGCTCGCCAGGCTCCTAAAAAGGTCAAATTTGGTTCAAAAGAATGGAGTGATGATTACAATCTGCACTGGTTTCAAAATGCAGAATCTTTCCCAATCTCACACTGTTCCATAAAATAGGACTCGGCTGATGTATCAGCATTCTCTGTGCGAGCAGAGCTTAGCTGTACAGTCTCTGCCCTCTAAACAAACCAGCGGGGAGAAAGCAGTGTAAGAAGTGACAAGCTACTCTGGCTACAGGATACGGCACACAGTGTTTTCAACATGCTGGCACACACACATCAAGCAGCCTGAGGCGGTCCATTCTCCAGACACAAAATTTTCTCCTGCTGTCTTTGGATCGAAGCTCCCCAGGATATGAATCTGCTCAGCAAAAATGCTGTCAGAGCTGAGCCACATGTGACGATAGGAAGCCTCCCCTGCTTTGCTTCAGTAATGCCAGAATCTCTCCAGACTGTGATCTCACTAGTTGCTAATTATGCAGCAGGAATAACACTGCCCAGAAAGACAGGGCTGCATCACTGCAGCGCAGACACCCAGAATACACTGGGTGTCAAGAAGTGCCTGCTACAGAACTGCGCCTGGACTGTGTCTCTTAGAGGCAACTTGCCTAGCCTGGATCAGCTCTACAAAGCCAACCAGGCCTAATAAGTACTTTAGAGAAAATATTTCCTAATCTATCCAGACCTCATCAAAAGTCTACACTCAAGTCAGAGACGTATCTAAGAAAACTCAGCTGTCACAGGCCTGAGGGAAGCACATCCCTGAAGTAAATAAAGTATTTGATAAGAATTGTAATTAAATTTAAAAATGAGCCCTAAGTATCAATTCTGTTTTTCAGGTTACTGACCTTGCCATCAGAGGTCACACTCCTAGGACATGGTAAGAATGGAGAAAGCCATGGACTTAGGGGTTACCATTTCAGCTGGGTTTAAAGACACCAGTTAGCTAACAAGTTCTCATCCCATTGGATCATGGGGTGGAAGAACCTTTACCACTCAGTACTTATGTGGGTAGGGTAAAAAAGAACCACCATGTTGGCCACTGAACTTAACTCTTCTTCTCCACTTACAAAACTTACCAATCAACATAAAAATCACACGGAGCTAATCATCTGCTTTTCAGATGAAAAGTGTTTATGTGCAGCTTTAGAGTAAGTGAGGTCCTGCTAGTGCTGCCACTAGCAAACTGCTCTTCCTTGTCCGGAAGACGCAGGGCTCACGGCTACAAGCAAACAGCTCGCCTGTTCCTGCCTCCTGTCCCTTTGCTGCCGGCAGTGTGGGTTTCCTTTGACTATTTTTCTTGAAGCCCTGCAAGAGGCTGGCTCTGGTCCAAAATCATCTTTCTTATTAAAATTCTCTATTCTTTTACTCAAGTTGCCCTGGGGGGTATCGGTTCTCTTCAGGTCTTTTGTCAACTCTGATGCAGCAGGGCCCGCTGGCTCCTTGTTCATTTCCTTCACCCTTTTTTCTCTTTCCCACTTTCACTTCTGAAATAATGGCTCTAGGTAGTGATAGAAAGGCTTAAAGAAAGAGAGCAAGCCTGGGGAGGGGGGGCAACATTTTCCTTCTAAGGCCTGAGAGTAGTCTCCTCTGTGGCTCTGTGTGCAAATAATGCACTCACTGACTTGGCGCTCTTCACCCCACCTAGGGTCTGTTAGCACCACCGTCTCTGACATTAACTCCATCATTAAAAAAAAAATCCATCTATTATGTCCTGACAACCAATGTAAGTTTACATTTCATCCTTCTCCTTTCCCAACTCTGGTGTGAAATTAACTTGCTAAAGCACCACTGAGCACCAAGAATAAATCACACATCCACGTCCACAGAGGCTTCTGAGATCTTTCTTTACAACAGCAACAACTAGAACACGTTCCACATTTCCCGATTTATCAATCAACCTCCTTTCAAACCAGTCAGAAACCAGTCATCCCGCCTCTCTCCACTGTACCTCAGCAGAGGGTCAATGCCTCAGTTCAAGAGAAGCACCTACACTCCAAGCCTTAAAGTTTGGAAATAATCAAGGTGAGACTGGAAATGCAGGTCATAACTGACAGTTAACTGTCAACACAACCAACTCAAACAGCAAATGCTTTTGGAGAAAATAACACCAACCCCTATAAAAGCATTTAAATGCCAGTAAGATGAAAGGTCAGCTGACCAGGCCTGTCTACACGCCTTCCTACCTTTCCTCAAGTGTTTCTAGCTGAACGTTTCCCAAAGGTGTAAGAAATGATGTAGGTCCACAGTACATAGATCAAGTTAGCACCAAATAAAACAGACCTAGAGCATGTGTGTATTTTAGTACAGATCTAGGAAGGCCTCTCAGCCCTATGAGGATTCCTGTAACAATCCTGCAAAAGACAAGTGTATGTGACACAGTAAAAGGGACTGCCCAGAAAAAAATTTGTGATTGCAGAATGTATTTGCAGAGTTAGGTAATGAAAGCTTCTCTCTCGAACGTGTCCAAAATAATAAGACAAAGCAGAAGCCTCTCCACTTGACTGGAACACAACCTGCTGTGGAAGGTCAAGGGACCTAATCCCCAGTTAAGCATCAGGACGACCCCCCTGTATTTGGGTGAGAGGAAGGCAGGCTTGCTGCTACATGTTCCAATAAACCTCTTTCTCCTTTTACAAGACATTGTGGTTGATTCTCAAATACAATGAATTCTGCAGATCCATGTGTCCTTGTGATTTCCAGGACATGAACTTATTACAAATGGTGCAAATGAGTATATACTCTGCCCCCAGCCCTTTGTCCCTGATTTTTCCCGATTTACTGACACAAGGTTAGAATTTGTTTTCCAAGTCGAAAACTACTAGAGTGTGGAGGGCACAAGATCTCTGAGCGCTGGAACATGATGCTGCAGGAGCCATTAACTCGCAGGGATATTAAGTCATTTATAACTCTGGCACACACCAACCACATCCTCCTGGCTTTGGAGATTTGCAAGATGGAAAGTCAGTAAAGAAAAGGAAAGTCTGAATCAACTATGAATTTACCTTGAACTAAAAACTACAGTACAAGGGAACACTGTGCCTCTGGGGGATAACTTCTAACATTTCCTACTAAAGAATGGTCTGGGCATCACACTGCCACTCTCAAACCTTTTTTAAAGGGGTGTTTCAAGACCGTGGCACTAAAAGGGATGAATGGCAGTCGGCTGCGTGTTTGAGCCTGTGAAGAAAAGGATCCAGCTAGCAACCAGGGCAAAGTGATGCTTTCGTTTTCCCACACAACACCGGAAAAATGGGAGACCTCGGGAGCCGGGCTGAAAGGCCATGCCCAGTCACCGGCTCCCCGGAATGGACACCCTGCTGGAGCTCGGGCGCCGACCCACCTCTCGGATTCCAGCTCCTTCCCGCTCCCGCAGTCGTCTGCAGCCCTCCACTGCCCTCCTCATCCCTCAGCCTGCTCCTCACAAATTCCCAGCCACTCCTCCCACATTTTCCTCTGCTCCCCCCTCCCCTTCCTGCGCTCCCCTCCATCCTACATCACCTCCACTACATTCCGAACTCAGCCCTCTCCCGCAACCCCGCCTCCCCCGAGCCTCCAGCGGGGTCCCCCCGGGCGCCCCCGGCCCGGCCCGCGGCGTCCGCGCCCTCCTCACCCCGAAGTCGAAGCAGTTGAAGGAGGAGCGGAAGTAGCTTCGGGGCCCCAGGCCGTACATCTTCAGGGACATCTCTGTGAGGAAGAGACCCAGGAAAACAAACTCTGCAAAGTCTAGGAGAAGCCGGAGAAGAGGGGATTAGCGCGCGCCCACGCGGCTCCAGTCCGACTCTGGGCCTCTCGGGGCCGGGCCTCAGGCCTGGCCGCGCCCGAGCTGCAAAGCCACGGCC